CATGTTCCAGAGCACACCTGCTAACTGCAGATTTATGGTACCTGCTAACTGCAGATTTATGGCTTCTGTAGGTTATGCTTGGCTTGTTTCTGCAAAACAGTAATTGTTGCTTAATAGACTAGAAAATGTTAAGGGGGCTTTCTGCCTGTAAGCTTGGGAACTTAAACTTTTCACCCTGGTTATGGTTTTTCTGTATGAAAGCTTACCGTAGAGATGGCTCAGGGCAGCACTTAGGTTCCAACATCCTGTGTAGTCCCTGGCCAGCATATAGAAAAGTTTGTCTGAGTGGTCTTCTCTGTGAAACACCTCACAACATTAAGTAGAAGTTAACAAAGTTCAGAATATAACTAATTAGGAGTACTGTGAAGGGAAAGACCTTACAGTTCTAGGCTGACTTGTATCCTTTCACACAGAGGAGCAAGACAGTTCACTTTGGCATTTTGTCCTTTCAGGTTGTGCTATGGCTCATGTCTCATTCTATAACATTTGGGACTACTGGAATGGGTCCCAAGATTCAAATCCTAGTCTCAGAGAGGGAAAATGAAATATAAAGTTGGAGGCACTGGGAGGGATCAGCATTCAAAGCCATCATGCACTGAGATCCTGAAAAGAATCTAGCTGGAAGTTAACTCATATCCTTCCCTCTTCCTCCACCCCTGGATTTAAGGGCACGTATCTGGGGGAAGTTATCTTGTGTGTGAAGAAGGCATGAGAAAGAGCTGTTCTAGTGCCCACACTGGAATCCCATGTGGGTCTCTTGCGTCCATGATCCTGGCAGGCGTTGGGAAGGCGAAAGGAGGAAAAGTAACGGAGGAGAGGGGGATACAGTAATGAATGCCAGTGACATGAGAGAGTCCTGGAGTTTGGAGATCCTCTGGGGATCGAACAGCATTGGAGAACTTAGGCAGCCGTATGGATGCCACAATCTTTGTTAGTCACATTGGCTGCCCTCTGCCTGTAGCGGGGTCAGTTCCATGAACATGTGGGTCCATTCGCCATCAGGATATCAGTCCCTGTGAGGTCTGTGATCGAACAGCATTGGAGAACTTAGGCAGCCGTATGGATGCCACAATCTTTGCTAGTCACATTGGCTGCCCTCTGCCTGTAGCAGGGTCAGTTCCATGAACATGTGGGTCCGTCCATTCGCCATCAGGATATCAGTCCCTGTGAGGTCTACACTTTTCACAGATTCAATGTGGGCTGTCACCTGAAGCTGCCTCTCAGTCTGAAGTACGCTTAGCAGATGCTACCAATGCGTGTATTTCTTAATTCCAACACAAATTCAGCTAACATCTTGGTAGAACAGTGGAGTGGGTTGAGGAACATCCTTGACTCCCACCCATGTGGTGCTGTAAGCAAGGAAAAGTAAAGAAAGAGATTCAATCTGGTTTTCCCAGGCTATGATCAATCCTCCAGCAGAGATCTGCCCATCATTTCCAAGTGTTCCAAGAAAGAAGGGATAATAATACATTTGGTGTCCTTAGAGAGAGTGAAAGAGAGAGAAAGAGAGTGAGAGAGAGACAGAGAGAGAGAGAGAGAGAGAGAGAAGGAGAGCATGCATGCTTATCTTGCTTATCTCTGTATCTTTCTCCTAGCTGACTGAGCCACATGATATAGGCATGGATTTGGCACCTTCTAAAATTTCCAGGCTTTTGTGCCTCTTTACACTGAGTTGTGCACAGGTATTTGGATAGTTACAGGGAAGGAGATAGTTTATTAAAGGAGATAGTCAGACTAACTTATTGTGCATGGTACAGCTCCAAGAAAGAAAGGGGCCGGCTTCTTGTCACCTCTTATAGGTATTTATGTATTATGTATTTTTCTCCAAGGCTCTTTCTCCTACATGTAGTTAGCACTGTTACTTGTAGTTGGGGTCTGGGTGAAGTGTTTCCAGGTTCTTAGCTTCAGCTAAAGAATTGAAACTAAGAATTCACATAGGTTTGCAAAAGAAGAAAAGATAATTTTATTTGGACCTAAGCAATAGCACAGATTAGACAGGTGTAAACTGTCAAGATTGGCATTGGGCCACATGAGTGAGGATGCAAAGGATTCAGGCTATAGCCTGAGGTCTCTTTTTGTGGGTTCTGATGGAAGGAGTGGCTGGATTCTAAAGGGTATAGTTTAGGTGGTTTGATATTTTTGATTGATAGGTTAGGTTATGTAATAATTTCCCTATTGAGCATGTCCCTTCCCACAATGCACCTGATTTTAATCATTCTCATGCCTAATTATGTATAGGCATAAAATGGTAAATAGGGGTTTATCTCTAAAGGGTTACTAGAAGACACAGTTTTGCCTTAGTGTGCACATACATGCACCCCAAAATAGTTCAAGTCAGACTATCTCATCTATTTATAACTGGATTTATTGGGAATATAGTTGAATAGAAACTGTCTAAATTTGATTGTTGCAGGGTTGGGAAACTCCTACAATTGTTTAGAAATGAGAATATACAGCTCGATGGAGGTGGGAGGTTGAGGGGTTCTGCGGTTGCTCAGTGCATTGTTTGGAGAGGGGTGTGTGTGCCCATAGTATGTGCAGATAATGGACCTGAACAACTAGGTTGTCATGTGTATTCTTGCGAGAGGGCAGTATGCATAGTCCAAAGCCCAGTGGGGGTCTCAGGATACTACACTGTCTCCTGTACTTGACTGCCTCGCCTTGGGAAGGTTTCCCATCTTCTTTTGCTAGTGCCTCCTTTCATGCATTGATCTCTGGAATCTCCTGTTCCACATTGTTCCCTGTTTTCCTACCTCAGAAGGGGATAAAGAAAGGTAATAGGGGCTAAAAATGACCCAAGTTCACTATATGCACATATGAAACTGCCAAAGAGTAGCAACAACAACAGAAACATGTCAAAAGCTGTTGTAAAAAGAGAATTAGTTTGGCAGTTAGGAGCAAATGTATCACTCTGTGTCATTCTTCCTGTGTCATTGATCAATTTTCCTCTTAGGAACAGGAAAGATTGCTCAAGGAGGGATTGAAAGAAGAGAGCAGAAAGCTTCAAAATGAGATTCGGATTATGGAGATGAGAAATAGAGAAAAAGGTACGTCACTTACATATTATTATGATCTACAAATTCATAGAACACAGCTTTCCCCCCCGGGCTTTTTTGTCAGGGCACAAATTCCTGAGCAATTTCAGGGCATCAGATGATTGCTGCTAAATGAAACTTTGAATCTTGATGCCTGTATATTTGTTGAGATATCAGTTTATAAAAATAAATCCTAAGTAGGAAGAAAATGTGTTACCTACTGGGCTATTAATTTCATGGAAACTTGTAGTACTGATATAAATGTAACGGAATCTACTATGAGAGAGAAGTCTACCTTATATTGAAATGCACTTTCAATTACGTAAAACCTTTTAAAGGAGGTTGGAGAGATGGCTCAGTGGGTAATACTGCTTGCTGCCCTTGCAGAGGATGTGGGATTGGTTCCTAGCATCCATATGGTGGCTAACAACCACCAGTAACTCCAGTTCCCAAAGATCCAACACTCTTTTATGGCCTGCATGCTCATGGTGCACTTACATACGTGCAGGCAAAATACTTAGTCAAGGCTCAGAATCTTCTGACCATAGAAGCCCTTTGGTTAACTATCACAACTCTTCCTGCTCCATGTGGAGTCATTAAGTTACAATGAGTGTAACAACATGTGCCATAGTTTGTGAAACCATTCATGAGTAAAGCATAATTACAGCCAACAGCAATGTGATGACTCCAGTGGAAAATTAAGGCCAGGGAATTTCGTTCATGAAGTAGCAACAGAAACAGACAGAAGGAGGGAGGCGACATGGCAATGCTACCTCCATTTTCTCATTCACTTTCCTTCTCAATGGAACATGAAGAAGCGGAATCCGCGCAGGCTGCCACAAAGATGTTGGAGGATATGCAAAGGATGGAACGGCACATAATGGCGCAGAAAGAAGAGAGTCGACAGAAGTTCATGAAGCAACTACCTGAGAAGCAAGAGGCTCTTGAATGCCAGGTATTTCACCCCACAGCATCTCCCAAACAGCAGAGACCACGCAATCTAAACATCAGCAAAGCTTTGTCGGTCTGTATTTAGAAAGCATGCTTGTTGTCTCTTGACTATTTCATCCACTGTGATCCAAAGAGTGTGGTTACTGTATTGTTCCAATCAGCTGCAGAAGCTGCACGTCCGTGCTCAGGTGTTACCCAGCTCACCACAACCATCCAGAAGTGGTTAGCAGCCTGCCTTCCTATGAGGACGTGCTCAGTTGTACCTGGGGAGCTCAGTTTTGACTTGTGGTTAGAACCCCTCCCTTGGGTCAGGACTGCTTCAATGCCTATACCATATACCTTTGGTAAAGGGGTAGAAAATAACCATGGAAATACCTGAATGTTGATTAGCGTTGCCTTAGAAAAAAGCCACAGGCAAAGCTTTCTGGTGGTCTCTGCTTGCTGGTGTCATTCATCATCCTGCTAATTGGGATATAAATAATCAGCAATTAAAACAGACTCAGTCATGGGTCTGTCAGATCTAGGCCCACTCTCGAATGTTGCCCACTCTAGCTGTCTTCTCTGTTAGCCTGAAAACAATAACAAAAATGAAAATTTCTTCCATGAAATTAAACAGTGTTCTCTCCAGGCATGGTAAGTTCTGTCCTGTTCCAGTTTGTGAGAGTTCATTTTTCCTCTTGCTGGAGACCTAACCCAGGGTATTAGACACCAGTGTACTGCTGTACAAATACTCTGCCAGAGATAAATCCCCAGCCACTTCCTCATTACCTCTCACCCTTAATTCACAGTCACTCTTCCATTCCAATCTGACTCCTGTCCCCAACAATGGCACTGTTCATATCAAAGTCCCTGGTTGGCCTCAGTCTGCCTCTTTCTGGCAAGGCTACCCTTGATGTCTACTAGATATCTTAGTCATCTCTGTATGTTGTATCTCTGCTGGGTGAGGAGTCCAAGATCAAGGTCCCATCAGGCTCAGTGTCTGCTTAGGGCTCCTTTCTCTGTCTACAGGCTGCTGTGTTCTCACTGTGTCTTCACATGGTGGGCACCCAGAAATCTCTGGTCTCTTCCTTTACTTATAAGGATACTGATTCCATTATGGGGACTTGTCTAGTGTCATCTAAATCTGATTATTTGCCAATTCTCTCATCTACACTGACTATTAGGAGAACAGTAGTATACGAAACAGTGGGCATATACAGTCAGATTGTAGCTCTACACACTATGTAATTTTATTTCTTAAACTGCCTTTCCTCATCCTCTATTTCATTGTGTTCTAGTGGGAGAGGATTAAAAATACACCAGAAAGCTCACATATGTATATTTTATTTTGTAGTCATATGTAATACATATTTTTAAAAGTATCGTTCTTCT